TGTTTTTTTTAATGTTGAAGTGAAATGCATCAATCTGGTGCACTTTGAGCACAACATGAATTTATGGATACAGCTCTCAACACTCGATGAAAGGGAGCTGTATACTTTCAATAATCCAAACATCTTTAGAATATGATCACAACCAATAACAAATCATTTCAACTTGTTTATTCTTATCTTATGTTACCTAGTTAGCATTCTTTCTTTTTATTTATGCTTATTTTACTAATCACTCCCCTTTTAAACTGTTTATTTATTTTACTTTCCTATAGTACACATTGGAATGATTTCTTACTTTTATTTTTTACAACTATACCCCTCCTGTTGTGTTCGTCGGTCAATCTGACCGATTTACTACTTTCATCAATCATAACTTTTTTGTATTACATTCGATTGCATTAAGGCTTTATGATATCCTTCACAGTAGACATTTGAACATATACAATTGCTGATCACCACTTTCATTGAATTTTGGATGATTTAGTTAACTTTGTAACACCCATGGTGTTCCCGGTCAAAAATGACCGCCATAAAGAAAAGGAATTGTTAACCATCCGATCAGATAAAACACACACACAAATATCCACACACACAAACACACGCATACACTAGATGTGTTTTCCCCCCCCTTATGTGCCCATCCCCCCATGTGAATCACACCTGGCACACAAACACACACACACACACACACAGAACAATTTGATACATTTCCCGCTCTTATGTGCCCCCGCGAGCTACTTATTGAGGGCTTGCGAGCTACCGGTAGCTCACGTGTGGGAGATCCCTGCTCTACACGCTCCTCACTTACACAATTATCTCTCATATCTCCCACAGATAAAAACCTCCCCAACAGCTCCAGCGTGGAAGTGGAAGTGACACCACCCTGAACGGCACCGCAGTTCAAGAAGGTCAAGAAACGGTAAGAAATCACATGAAAAAACTCAAGTGTGTTGAAAATATATCTCATATTTTCCCCCAAAATATCTCCTATCAAACTAACCAGCTCGGCAGCAAAGGTAAGAGGCACGGATCAAAGTCAGAGGGATATTTATGGATATTTTATGCCCTCCATCCATTCCACCTTGAGTGAGATGGATGCATTGACTACGGCACAGGTCACTACTGCTGATAATTTCCCAGCATGCCCTCGGAACGAGATCCTCCATCTTCAGCCAGACCTGCCAAACACTCGCCTCCTTCCACTGAGTTCTGTAATCACACTCCTCACTCACCTGCTGCTCCCCGCCGCTGGGTGTTCACACACACACAACACACACACACACACACACACACACACACACACACACACACACAACCACACACACACACACACACACACACACACACACACACAGAATGGCAACTGCAGGAGTGGTGCTGGCATGAGCGATGATGGTGGGACGCAGCGACCCACTGGGCCAGCAGACGGTCCCGGGGAGAAAGGGCAGCGATTCAAAGTGGCACACTGAGAGGAGAGGGGGCGGAGGATTCTTTCATTGACTAACACAGACTGAATCATGCTGCCATTCACCGCGTGAAAAGTTGTATTTTCAACCAAAAATATCTGTTTTCTGAAAAATTGCAAACTTTTTTATTATTATTATTTTTATGTATTTATTTCAACAAGGACCATGCATAAAAATACTTTAATCTCAGAAAAGAAGAGATGAATTATGCCAGAATTTAGCTAATAGCTCATTTCCATCTGCAGTCCTTAGATAGGTACATAACAATCAACAAACACTAAAAACATTGCATAATCTCTATCACACAAATAATTATAAAACATGATTTAAGTAAAAAAATAAATAATACATAGTACAGTAAAATATAATATTACAATACAGTTCAAATTGAAAAACTCAGATGTAATTAATGTTGGCATGGTTGCTTAATAATATTTTTGATTTGCTGTTCGCTGCCATTGTTACATTCCCCCTCGGAAATGTCTCCCATTTGTGTGAACCTCTGTGAGCTGAGGGAGCGAGTCAACAAAGGTGGTCACTCCAGTTGTGTATTATCACCCACAATGCATTGTAGTTATACACTATACACTCGCAGAAAATGACAGCCAGGAATGGTGCACTGCACTCTCTACTGACCATGCAGACTATTATAGATAGGTAACCAATGAATGCATTTGATGGCAATAGCAGGGCAAATAAATAGTATCAAGCGTTAACTTTGCATTGAAATCCCAAGGTTTTAACTTTAAACGAGCCAAACGTTTTTAGTTAAATGTTTGCGTTTAGGTGGATTTTAATCTTGCACAACCCTTTGAATCAAAGCCCAGTCTTTGAAGCATTTTGCCTTACAGCACACAGATAAAAAATGTATACTGTAGCACTTTGTATTTATAGACCGCTGTATGCCCCCCCCTGAGTACGGCTGCATGTCTGCTGCTGAGGGAGCATTAAGGACGCTCTCAGAATAGACTGCAGGAGAAAATGCTGAAGAGAAGCCCTAAGTCGCAACATGACCGCGTGTGTATCGATATACTGCTGCAGCAAGACCACATTGATCTCCCACTCTTTCCATAATCATAGTCTTTAAAGATAAAACTGTCATCACTGCGTTGAAGCTGAAAATATGTGTGCCTATAATAAGGAAAATGATAGACTATATTCTTCAGGTGAAGGCAGAAAAGCTGATATGGTAAAGAATATTCCAGGTGGTGATTCAGAGGATTGGAAGATCTCATTGGCATAATTCCCATATGTTTATATATTTATAGGCGTGTCCCACAGTGCACCTGTGTGTGTGTGTCAGTCAGGAAGTAGCTGGAGGCATCTCACACCTTCACATGCCGCCTGAGGCCCGTCATGCTAATTGTTCAATTCCTCCTGGATGCCTTGGCAACCAAGATTGGGGAATAAGGTCAAACTAAAAGCAGCAGCTGACTTTAAAAGCTTTGAGAGCTGTGCTGACAGAAACGCACTGCAATAGTTCCCAAATCAAACGGGCATTTTTCATAAAAGTAACAAATATATTCAGCCTAGGATTCGCAGCAAATTGTCTTTCTGTAAAACATATACGACAGGATTTTCTACTTTCAGCACACATTTTGAATAATGTATGAGTGTAAAGCTCCCGTAATCGGGTCTTTAAATAACATTCTGAGAAGATCACAACCAACAGGAATTTGTGACTCATCCGAGCTCCTCTCTGAACTAAAACGATTTCAGTAAAAACACACACTGTGTAGGCATTATGTATTTTGGGGAGGAAGTAACATCATGAATATCTGATTGCTTTGCTAAATAATATGAGATTTCATATCAATTATATGGAGCCTCTATGTCAGGAAAAAGCACATTTCCGACTACTCAAAGATCTAAAGAGTTGGCAATGACTTTTTATTTTATTGACTAATCAATTAGTTGATTAATCGTCACAGCGCTTGGCAGATTAGTTGGAAAAAACACATTTAATCAAAAAATGTATGTGTGTGCTCATTTGCTCACACTTTTCATGTCGATTTCAATTCTTGTAGCTTTGTTTCTACTTAGCACACGCCTCCAGGTTTAAAAAAGAAAAATAGCAAATGTCACGCCTCCCTCGCAGCTCTGGTAAAAGTCAGTGCCTTTAAGCTCGGAGTTGGCGGTGTTGCCAACTGAGGCCCCGCGGGGCAGGAAGGCCCCCGAGGAGCTGGCATTTGGGAACCAAGTCAGAAAGGGAGCAGCAGAACCTCCATGGGGCTCTTCAGCAGGGAGAGCAGAAATAGACAGATGACAGACTCACAGTGTGCAGCGTCGGCCTGAAACGCTCACCTGCATGCTGTCAACATATCCATCAAAGAGCTGTGGGCAAAGAGCAACATCCTGCATCACTTCCTGCTAGATCACATGACCAAGTTTAGCTTCCAAACACTGCAGTCAACCCTGATAAAACCTCTTAGATCTCCACATGTATGATAAGCAATGGATTATTGCCTCAGGCTTTTGGGTTTTAGGCCTTTTAACATATAACAATGCAGCCATCTGGATATGGAGAGGTGGGAATCAGAAGTAGAGCATAAGTGATGCAAGCTTTGCCTTTTGTTTGGCGGCTCTGATTACCAAGGTTACCGTGAAATACTCAGCAGCGGTGGCTGTCACAGCAGGATAGGCTCCGTGTGATTCACGATTCGTTCAGTAGCCTTCTTTAAAGATTTCTGCCTTCCTCTCTGCTCCGATAATGTGATTGACAATTATTGTTTACTGAGCGAACATCTGTTATCAGCATCGCTCTCTGTGGTGTGTGTGTGTTTGTAAATATTATTTTTACACCTTGGCTAACTCTCAAAAGGGCAAGAGACACATTTGAGGTCTTCAGTGGATCTACATGTGTGGACCTGTTCTCCGCAGGTCCCCGTGGCTCCTTACCATCCTGTATAATTGGATACAAAGGGACCCAAGTTATGTTCCCACTCTCAGAAGGCTTTGTTGTTTTAAAGTATGATTGTTTAGTAGAGAGTGATTTCGCTGCTGTGGACACAAACAGAGATGGAAAAAGTACACACATCCTTTACTCAATTAGAAGTACAGATACTCGTGTAAAAAATACTCTGGTACAAGTAGAAGTACTGACTAAACTTCTTTACTCAAATAAAAGTAAAGAAGTATGGGCTTCGAAATGTACTTAAGTAAAAAGTACCCATAAACTGTTTTAAAGAGTACCTGACCTCCCTTTATATTAATAGAACAATAATGTCATTGTTAGCTAATGAATGTTTCGATGCTGAACAACGGCAAAATGACAACGTTTTCATTGGTCCCTCTTCTTTAGAGAAGACCAGGAAATGATGTGTGTTAAAATCGTGTTAAAATCAATAGGCACGCAATGACTCTAAATAATAATAATCAGGCCACCAAACACACATTCAAACTAAAGTAACCTGTTTTGAAAATGTAAGAAGTAGAAAGTACAGGTATTTGTGTTCAAAATGTAAGAAATAGAAAGTACAGGTATTTGTGTTCAAAATGTAAGAAGTCAAAGTAAGTAGTGGAGTAAAGTACTGATACCAGAAAAATGTACTTAAGTACAGTAACGAAGTATTTGTACTCCACTACTTCCCACCTCTGGACACAACAGATAATGCTCTAAATAAAAAGGAGATTTAGAGTCTTTCTTGCAGAATCTGTCATCTCTGGACCGTTTCTGTGAGGCTGATCTGCAGCGAGGTGACAGTCTTTGGCTCACTTGGCATTCCAGTGGCAGGTCCAATCAGCCCCCCGAGGGTGTGCCGCCGCAGCCAGCCTCAGCACTGATGGGGGGGGGTTGTAGCCCTCAGGCTCGCTGCAATCTCCCCAATCACTCTCCTCACACTCCTCTGTCTTAAGGTCACCGCTGAGCAAAAAGCACATGCACTTCCAGTTCCTGCCTTCCATTTTCTGCAGGCCTCCTGTGCTTGTGTTGCACTACCCACCCCTCCTGATAGTTGCTATGGAGAGGTGTGTCCCAATGAGACATGTTACCCTAAAGGAGACACTTTTTCCGACATCCCTATAGGAACATGCAAAAAGCCTGACTCAGCTAAAGGTAAGGTAAATGAAACACCAAGTGATTACACTGTATTATATATCGCCTCCACACATTATTAAATATCACATTTTTTTAGAATCGCCACTAAATAAAGCTTGAAGGCTAAAATGGCATCATTTTTTCAAACTCTGGAGTTATTTAACAAAGTTAACATCAATAATATTCAGATAAATATCCAGGTATTTACATTTCTTAAAATGTCACTTCTCTGTTCCTTTAATATTTTTTTAACAAGTTCTTAGATCCACTTTTAAGTCAGTCCTTCAGAAGGCAGGTCAAATGTTTATTGTAATTTTTGTGTTAAGTTATTTTCTTTATTGGTTAGTTTCTTGTTTGCACATTGTATTTTTTTCATTCTTTTTGACATAAAAAATGGGTTGCTTCGTGTCCTTTTGAAAGTATATAACATATATAGGCCTCATTTTAGGTTCCCTTTTATTAGCCTTTAAGGTTTCTTTATTCCAGATGTGCATTTCCTCATGTTATTTCATGATTCCTCTCTAGTTTTATATATATATATGCACAATAATAATACATTTAATTGATATAGCGCATTTTTCGAGTTATGACATGGGGGGTGGGGGTTCCAAGGAAAAAGCCAGTTTGAAGAGGTGGGTTTTGAGGGCTTGTTTGAAGGATGATAGGGGGGTTGATTGTCTGATGTGTATAGGGAGGGCGTTCGAAGCTTAGTCCTGGTGGTCTTTACGGTGCTTGCATCTCCGGACCTGAGGCAGCGGGTGGGGATGGGACAGTGGACGAGGTCAGAGAGACAGGGAGGGGCCACGTTGTTCAGGGCTTTGAAGGTGGTGGGCGATATTTTGAAGTCGATTCTGTATTTGACTGGGAGCCAGTGGAGGTTGTGAAAGACGTATTGCAGTTTGTGTGGGGATTGTGTTTGGTAAACTCAAACTGTAGAGTATGCTATTGCAGTAGTCGAGTCTGGAAGGGATGAGGGCATGGATGAGGGTTTCAGCAGCAGTAAAAGAGAGGGAGGGTCAGAGGCAGGCAATGTTCTTCAGCTGGACATTTTTAAATTTACATAACTTAACCATCATTATTTTTTATCCAAACCATGATCTTTATGTAAACCCATCAAGTACCTTTGTCGCGTGTTTGTTAACAACTTTACAGGCTGTTTAAAACTGTAATTCTCTGGGTTTTAACAACCAATCCTGATGAATGTTTTATAACCTCTCCTGTATTGTTTGTGTTCTGCTCTCAGGCTGAGGATGAGGAGGAGGACGACCAGCCTCTGAGCCTGTCCTGGCCCGACTCCTGCCACAAGCGCATCACGTACCTCCTCATCATTCCCATCGTCCTCCCACTGTGGTTAACGCTGCCCGACGTCAGGAAGCCGGTGTGTGAGACAGTCTATCCTCACACATGGAAAACAGGAATCCTCAGTGTGAGACGGAGAAGTGTTGACTCGTTTTGTGTTTTTCTCTTTCAGACTGCCAAAAGGTTCTTTCCCATCTCCTTCATCGGTGCCATCTGCTGGATTGCAGCATTCTCCTACTTAATGGTGTGGTGGGCTCACCAGGTACATACTTTCCCAAAGACAGACTCACTCCCCCTGTACATGACATTGTCAAAACGAATTGGGTGTAGCGTGATCACGACAGAACATTGTAAAATCCTAACATAATCCTTTTAAAAAAAAACAAAGCAAGATGCAGTTGTCTCGTTTCTCCATCCTTGACATTTCAAACAAACCATATTGTCTAATCCTCCCACTCATACATAATTATTCAAAACAGAGAGCTTTTTATCACTCCTCATCAGCTCCTAATCATCACAAGGAAATAGCTAGAACAAAAGATTAGGTTTTTATTTACCCCAAAGCTTAGTTTTATTTATTTTTTTTTCCTTTTTTGTTTTGTTTGCAGGTTGGAGAGACCATCGGGATTACGGAGGAGATTATGGGCCTGACTATATTAGCAGCTGGAACGTCCATCCCTGACCTCATTACCAGTGTCATCGTGGCACGCAAGGGGCTGGGGGATATGGCTGTCTCCAGCTCCGTCGGCTCCAACATCTTCGACATTACAGTAGGGTACGCACAGGGCCTCTTACATGATTACATTTTTCTTTATATGAATGTTATTTTCTCCTTACCATTGACGGCCTTTACCTTCTCCTTTTTTTTTTATAAGGATTAGTTGGGGGAAGGTAACTTCAGTGCAAGCAAATGGCGATTACCCATGTAATCAGGCTGTATTGTGCTTTATTTATATTTCCCACAGTATATAATTGCGATGTAACAACGGTGTAAGTGGCAGGTACAGGCAAAACCCTTTAATGCACAACTTTAGGCCCTTTATTTATTTATATATTTATTGTATGTCTGTAATTAATGTTGTGTTTTATATATATTTTAAGTGTGTTGTTTTAATTGTGTTTTTATGAATTTTTACTCTGTAAAGTGTCTTTGAGTTTCTAGAAAAGAATGCATTATTATTATTATTATTATTATTTATTAACTGAAGCAAGGTGAGAAATCAAATGATGGGCAGGTGCTGCTAAGTTGCTCTTTGATTAGCTAAATTATTGTCAAATTAGACTTTTTAGAATTAGAATCATATTATCTGTGTGTGAGAATTCTCATAACAACAGAAAAAAATCTAGATTCAAAAATTAAGTTGTGACATTCGTAATTGTACATACTGTTGTCTTCTTAACCTAGTCATTGTTTACAACACGAAGCTTTATTGAACGTGTTTTTTTATTCGCAGACTGCCGTTCCCCTGGCTCTTGTGGTCCTTTATCAACAACATGTCTCCGGTGAAAGTCAGCTCCAACGGCCTCTTCTGCGCCATTGTGCTCCTCTTCATCATGCTCCTCTTCGTCCTCATCTCCATCGCCGCTGTAAGTGGCGCATGAGCAAGATGCTGGGCTTCATCATGTTCATGCTGTACTTCGTCTTCCTGGTGCTCAGCGTCATGCTGGAGGACAAGGTCCTCACCTGTCCCGTGTCCATCTGAGGAGCCACTTTGTCCCTCGTCACCGCCACAACCACCGCCGACACCACCACCCTCCATGTCTGCCATCGCCCCCCCTCCCCCACCCCACGACCCGTGTGATACTTTACTTACTCCAGGAATAAAAGAAGAAGAAGGACGACAGGACAAGAAAAATAATACAAAACATTTTTAAAAAGAGCAGGTGGTGGTGGGGGCGGGGTTGGAAATGGCACAAGACTTTGGCTTGGCTGGTTTAGCATAGTGGATTTTTATTTTGTATTATTATTTAATTGGCAGGTGGGGGGGGGGGGGGGAGTTATGGGTCTATCAGCCAAATATAGAAGCATTATGCATGCCATTAGTGTCACTAGACGAGCTGAAATCAAGGCCACGCCTGGTAGGTTGAGGAGAATGACCTCCTGTGAACTTTGGGGAGGAGGGGGGGCGCTGTATTAAACTCTTAATAATAAATGCAGTGGCTGAGCTGACATTGTGAGCACATTTGACCACACACAACAGACGCTGATACCAGGAGTGGAGAAGAGTTTGAGGAGACGGCAGCCTGTGAGGTCCAACGTGGCGTTGAGCTAAAAGACTCGAAAAGGAGGAAGCACTCTCACTGGGCAGACAAACTTTCTTATTTTATTTTTTTGCAATTTCATCATGCGCTCAGTCTGCGTTGAAGCTTCCCTCTCCCCTGCTGGACGTCATTCTTCACCACTGAATGTCTCTTCAGAGGATTCTTCTTTTTTAATTTTTGGATTCATTTTCATGAAATATATAGAAGTAGCACTAGATGTACTGTAGCAGTATTAGGTAAAGTAGAGCCATCTTGACAATCTGCTCCTATTTTTGTTCTTTTGCCACTGAACACACGTTCTGATTGTGCAGTACTTTCCATGCTTCACACGCACCGACTTACAAAAGAAAAAAATTAAATTGAAGTTTTAGCCTCCCAAAATATATGCTAGCCTTCAATATCTTTCACTGGTTGAAAAAAAAAGGCATGAGTAATTTAGGATCATTAAAGCTCCGTAATGAAGTCAATGTCAAAATAATACATTTGAAAAAAAAGTGAACAGTGTTTAAGCGTCATGGTTGATTTAGATTAGTCAATGTGTAGTGCTTTGTTCACAGTAGAACTGGGCTCAACTCACCGGCTAGTCACGCTCCTGCGCTCGTAGTTAAAGGAGTCAACTGCATGTTAAAATAGACACTTGGAGGTGAATTATACCAATCAACATTTAAGAAGATGTATACCAAAATGTATACTTTTCCAGACATGTTCATAACTTCTTAATGCAATCCAGTGCTCAGTCTCTATGTAGAAAGTGTCAACATGTATGGTCAATGATATCTATCAAACTTGTGCAATTTATTTTCTAATCCAAGGTGCTTTTGTGTGCATGTGTGCAACCTGCATTTAAAGTCATCACACAATGACCATTCCTTATATTTATCTATGACTTATAGAGGTTATACTACCAGTATTTTGCGACTAACTGCAAAGAAAAAGAAATACACCAAACTGTGTTTTATACTGGAAATAGAAATCATAATCACTCCTTAAGCTACATAGAATGTGGAAATCACAAATTTAACAGCAATATTGTGGTGTGTGTGTGTGTGTGTGTGTGTGTGTGTGTGGTGTGTGTGTGTGTGTGTGTGTGTGTGTGTGTGTGTGTGTGGGGTGTGTGTGTGTGGAGAGAATCATCTCCCCCTCCCTTAGTGTCTGTCCTTCCTGTCTGACGTGGGCGACATTTCTCTGACCCTTCCTATAGAGCTGGTCAGAAACACCCTCTTTACCTCAACACAGCCTCTGTACAGCAGCGTAGTGACTGTAACATAATAGTAAATAGATTCTCTGAATGTGTGAGGGGAAATGCATGCGAGGAATTTGGGCTGGTTACCCACTGACTGTACAGCTGAGCTTAGACCAACGATATAATGTTCACTTTTATGCATCCATTCATTAAGAAACACTAAGAACTCATTGGTTTTACTTTGTAAATATACACAGAACCACACATGTATTTTATTTATTTTCTTCTCTTTTTTTTGACATAGTGGGTGGAGAAGGACAATGATAAGGCCCTTAGTATTATTGAGCAACATCTCATTAGCATACTTTACACTGTAAACTGTTCAGGTTCAGGTTAGAAAACAACATCTACACAACAGTAGGTCTTTGTGATGTTTTCTGACAAAGATTGCAAATGGTAAAAGTAAGCTATGATCTCTGTCAACTCATATGTTAAACTGTTACGTGTGCATGCTCTCGTATCTCCATTTCCACAACCCAGACTGTAAGAAACAAAATGGCCTCTATGATGATTTATGAAATTCTTCTGCATACGTTAAGGACGTTAAAACGTTAATGTGTTCACACCTCAGCTTGAGTTTCTACTCAAGGGTTCAATTTTGGGGGGAAAAGCACTTCTTTTGCTTTCTTGCAGAGCTCTAAATGATAAGATGGATGCCTTTTTTCATGTCAGTGCGGTGAAAGTGATCTAGAAGCAACGCCCAAAGGTAACAAAATCCACCTACAAAGCACATCTAAAGCTAAAAAACAAAGTGTAAGAACAAGTTTTACATTTGGTCATGCGCAGGCCAAGCTCTTTCCCCGTGTTTCGACTCTTTGTGCTAAGCTAAGCTAAGCTAACAGTAATATAGTATAAAGCTATAGGCCTATGAGTATTTCCTAAAAGTGTATTGCTTTAATAGGTCATAAGATAATTTGCTATCACTAAACTCACATGTGCATACTCTACTTGTGCACTTTTATTGCAAATATATGTTTTTCCCCACGTTTTTATGTGAGAGCATGACGAGAGGGAAACCAAAGGAAGAACTGAAAGTGGTTTAGCATGTGAGATTGGCATTGATTGTGGTTTTCAGCGACGCTGAACCACTAACAAACATTCTTGCACTGTAAATGTTTTATTTTCTTGGTGTTAATGTAAGATTTATTTAAGGTGTACATATATACAGATACAAATTAACCATATAATCTATATGTGTAAAAGAAATATGTCTCTTTATGTAAAAACACAAAGTATATAATAAAACAAATAAAGATGAAATTCAAATATGCAACAATGTGTTTGCGGGTTTTATTTTACTGACAGTCAGTCTCACTCTTGCTTTCAAATGTTGCTCTGTGTCCACTTGCAGGGTTGGCAAAGAGCAATTTTCCCCATAAACACCATGGTAAAAAACATAACCGTAAAATTATTCATAGGACATGTCAAACTCCAAACAAGGGCAATAATAACTCATTCTAGTATGACTTTTTGACCCATGCAAGCAGATAGGACTGAATGCTTTATCTTCATATTCAGGTATTTTAAATATAAATATCTGCCAACACTACAGGATAAAAGTCAAGATATTTCATCCTCTAATGCATTTTTTTTAACCTGTATCTACTAAGCCCCCCAAAGTGTAAAACTAAATATATGAACTACCCTTGCTTCCTGCAGATGTCAAATAAATACAAAAAGCCCACTTCAGTTCATTTCTCATGTGTCATTCCTGCATATGTAAAGACTGGTTGTGGGAAATGGCGCCCTCCTGTGATCAAACCCGGACTCTTCACTGTAATTTGTGACGCAATCATCACTTTTATACAATCCTTAGTCCACCCACATAAATTGTCCTCCAGCAGTTTGTCATGCTTCTACTGAATTAAATCACTTTTATCTTGCCTTAGAATTTAGTCACCTAGTTTTCCTCAAATTTCGTTAGATATTATATTATCTGGAAATAGACACAACATGAGTCAGGGTATGTCTCTTTGTTCACCATAGTTCCCCATGGTGCACTTTAAATGTCAAGCTGTTTTTGTTTTTCAGAATGATCTTGATGGATCAGTGTTGTGTGATAAAGTGTATGGTGTATACAAAAAAAGATGTACCCCCATGTTCATGTCCCACGCATGATTGAAAAAAAATACACCAACATGGAGCCTAGCATGGCACAAGTAAAAGCACTTTGGGTCATTGTGCCATTGGGTTACCATCATCAAGACACATTACCTGGTTAAATATAAATTGTTCTGAAAAGAGGGCCAATTATTTGACATGCAAAGACAAATACCTAGGATGACACTAGGGTTTACATTTCTAAACTTGATAAGACCTGCATGACATTACTCAAGGAAAGGTTAACGAAACTTTGCCGGTGTAAGCATGCCAACATGTTTTTTCTAGCAATGATTCCTAGTGAAACACAAAAATTCCCTGCCGTTTCCTGCTAATTCAAGAAATGTCCCCGACGGTATTTTTTTAGGTGTGTTTCCTGTAACTTGAATCACTAGTTCCTGTCTGCACACTCTTGTAAGGAGATAACAAAATTATACGACTGAATGTGTCTACAGATCTAAAGTGGATTAAACAGTTATTGTCCTCCTCAACACCCGCAGGACAGAGCAATTTAACTTCATGAAGTTCAAACCACCAGGATTGTGTAAGTGAATGTTTTTTTTATAATCTGAAACTGTATGTTGGCTCCTGCAGGCTTTGGACCTAGGGATGACCCCACTTAAACATCCCAATTTCTGCTGAAACAAAGCATTTATTCTTGGCTATAACTTAGCTTATTACTCTAATGGTAAATAGCTGCCTTTGAATCCTTGTTTTAAAGAATTGGGATTAACCTATTACCTCCAACCATCTTCCCTAATCTTCCTCAGAAGTGTTTAAGGTGTTCTGACGGTAATCCCCCTCACTGCTTCCCTGTACCTTTTTTCTGGAAACGTATTCAGCATCATCACCTGAAAAAATAATAAAAACCATGGTGATGATTGAAGCGAATACTGACTGAGGTCATTCACAATGTGCCGAACACTATACCAACTTCCAGTTTCACAAAGTCCCAGAAAGGAGCCGTTTGAATCACTGTTAGTGATGCATTTGGTTTCAAGATCTTGGATACCAACCTCTTTTTTCTGGACATGGGACTTAAATTGAATGAGTTATGTGAATAATAATAATATAATAATAATAATAATATACTGTATAATTATAAGCTTTATTTGTATAACACCTTTCATACAATAATTGCAGTTCAAAGTGCTTCACAGTAGACAGTTTTAATTCACTTCAAAGTTGAGAGCCTATTGGAAATTATTCAATGAGCGTCAAAAATGATTTAATTGAATTTTTTTTTTTCATTGCTATTTATTCATTTAAACTATACTTTCTCTCTGAATAAAATAAATACATTAGTGTGTCCCTCAGCAAGTTGTAACCTACTGACTGTACTTATCAACTCATTATTTTGAATTCAAATATTGTACACTTTATGTCTTAGTTTATTTTCTTAATGTACAAAAGCATTTCACTGTGGATTCATGGTGTATGAAATAGCAGGGGGGCTTCTAAATATGGCAGAGCTGGTGTTATTGCTGCTGGATTTGGCACCCCCCTCTGTAACTTTGGCCAGGATGGTCATAATCTCACCAAAATCCCACAGGTGTTAGTTATTCCCCTCTAGTTTAAACAAAAAATAACATTTACTCTGGGTTTATCAGATGAAATGTAAAAAAATATAAATCTGGACGAGCTGTAAAACACACTCTTGTTTGCTTACTTAGTGCACAGGATGATGTTCATAATATTTATAATATCCATAACCTAATACAGCTCTACTATATGCACACATAGGATATATTACCATAGCTCGTGGGAAGTAAAATAATGTCTTAATTCAGGAGCAGTCTGATTCATTAAATTGACTTTTAGCCATTACGTTTATTTGAATGTGTGAGTCAAGGGCAGTGTGTGGGTACTTTCCTTCTTCCAGCTCTCATTGTATGACAGACCAGCTCACTTTCTAAGTCCTTTGCCAGCAGATAATGAACTCCACATGCTTCTGAGGGCAAGGTTAGTAGCACCGAGGGCAGTCGGCTCACTTTGGGCCAGACTTTGCTCTGTGACTTCATCCGCGCGCTGTCACAGGTGTGCTTGCATTTGACTCAGCAGAAAACGTCTCAGAGGAGGCTGCAGGCCAAATCCTGCACACTCACTTCATCCTGTTACAAGCTGAGGCAGACTGAGAGTGAACTTTCAGCATATCTCAGACACAGTGGGCGAGTCATCACCAGAAGTTCCCTGTCCGGCTGTTTTCATGTGGAGAGTAACTGTCGTGACTCTCTCCTCAGTGACCTTATGGTGAGTCAGGAGAGGGTCAGTGTTGATCTGAAACTGAACGGATGCACATGTGGCTCTGTGATTTAGCAGGAAAATCATCTGAATCAGGGTTTTAGAATGATGGAATAGCCTCATGCATAGAAATGTCGAAAAGAAGAAAAATAAATTCAAAGTCATTCTGCAAACACACCATCCTCCCTTTTGCTGTTTTGTGTCTCTTTGCAGGCATCACCTTCTGATTGTGTGTCTTTTTGTTATTTCTTCTGTCCTTTTTCTGTAGTATTTTCTCTTTTTCTGGTCATTTTGTGTCACTTACTGGTCGTTCAATGTGTCTTTGCAGCTGTTTTGGTAGTTGTGAGTGTTTTTGTGTCTCTTTGTGATCATTTTCTCTCTCTTCGTAGTCTCTTAGAGTCCCTTTCTTCTTCGTACGTCTCTTAACAGACGCCCCCTGACAACATTACATTTTTTTATCCTTCAATTAACATCAATTTACTGTGTGTATTTCAAAGGGCCCATATCTGAAGTGCAAACCGGCTTAGGTTATAAATGCTATGTTGCAACGGTCCATGTTGTATACCTGGCCCTTTAAATATGAATATAAAATATAAGTAATACATGTCTTAATGTTAATATGGATAAAAGGCATTCATATCCTCCTGGGACCCGAGGAAAAAAAGTGTCTTCCAATTTCCTTTTTTTTTGTGATTTCCTACCTATTTAGGATTAAAAAAACATCTTGCAATTCAGACTTTTTTTATTTAATTTTAATTTTAAAATGTTACAGTATGTCCACTGTAGAGGACGTCGGGACCATATTAGTTTGAAAAGACAGCCAAAATTAACAGATAGACTATGTAACGTATTATGGTTATAGAGTGATATTAATACTCTTTGCACTGGCTTTTAATACTAGTTGAACATTACATTTTTACATTTGTATGTGTTTTTTTAATATGTTTTTAGTTATTGTGCTTTTTATCATGTTTTTAATTATTGTTTTATTATTGTACTCCCATTGTGTTATTTAATATGTATTGCCTGTACAGCACTTTGGTCAACTGAAGGTTGTTTTAAATGTGCTATATAAATAAATAAAGATTGAGATTGATTGAGATTAATACAATAATACATTCACCTTTATTTAAAACATAAATAAGTAATTGATCTGAACATTGCTGTTTATTTGGTCATTAAAAAACTAGTTTGGTTTTTGGTGAATCTTTCCAGATCTTCAAAGACTTTGTAGTCAATGTAGTGGGAAAAGTACCTCATTGACTCCAGTCGGCACGGGCTGTAGGGTCATCTTGACTAGTTTTATGACCATTGACCATGCTCATAGAAACATACAAGGTTCAAGGTTCTTTATTGTCAATCTGACATAGCTACAGAGTAATTATGTAGTTGAAAATCTTATGTCACAGGCTTCTCCAACAATGCAACATAATAACATAATAACAATAAGAGCAAGAGCAATACAAAAAGAAAAATAGTTATAAAATAAAGTGATGATGTGGAATAGTGCAGTACGAGTCTATATACAAGTTATTGGAATGATATATATATATATATTAGGTATTAGATACATAATACTGAGTAGCAGATGAATGTTTTGAAGTTGTTTCAACAGTTCAATTTTTAACAGTCTCACTGCCCGCGGGAAGAAACTGTCTCCGAATCTTCTTGTCCTTGCCAGGATGCTGCAATTACTTGGCATTCCTGAGGCAATTGTCATTTTTCATGGCTCCACTTAAAATAAAAACAACAATAAGACATGCGTGCTACTCTTGGCCCAGAGGGCCATGTCTTTCCAGCTCGTCCCTATCTGTCTCTATGTCTGTATCTGTGCGCTCATGGAGCCTCCTGCATCTTCCCCCCCCCCCTTCCTCTTGACCCTCTTCTATCCCAGGTGTGAAAGCCTCATCTCTCTCATCATCTGAGAGCTCCAAATCTGAATCTCCCTTAACTATCTGGTACAGAAAATGTCTGCTTCAGTTCCGTCTCCTGCAACAATATTGAGTCATAAAGTCCATGAAGATGGTCCTGACGTCCACTAGAATGGACATTTATAAAAGGGCTGTTATTTGAAAACTTGAATTATTTAATTGCTTTCAGAACTAATGATATAGTGTTAATAAACACATGTTAATAAACAAGAACATATATGATTTTCATGGTAAAAATTACAATTATTCAACAATATTTGACTTCTCCTCCTGCTTCTATAACATTTTGTTTTTGGTATGCCAGCCATTTTGGATGAAAAGAAAGAGGAACTTCCCAGCATGCAATTTTAACCAATGACATATCACTGGAAAGACCAGGATGTCCTCTCTACAGTACATCAGGGATTGATAGAGTAGCTTAAAAGAGTAAAAGGAGATGCATGTTAACAAAATGTCCACTACAGTGGACAATTTCAATGGGCTGGGTCCCAGGAGGATATACAGGTTTAATCAGCACAACGTATTACTGAACGTTCGCATGCTGATTTGATACAAATCATCCCAAGCAGACACACCTTAAAATCTGGCCAGAAGCCGACTCTCAGGAGTCTCCACATCACCTGTTTCAATTAATGTCAAATTAAAATTCTTTGCATAGATTATAACTAACCATATGTATTTACAACGCAATAACCATGATAAACAAACGCTCATTGTCGTAATGGAAACATGGCCCTGTCAGGTCCTGCTACAGTAACTTACCTCTAAGGTGTTTTGCTCTGTGGGAGCACAGGTGCGGCCGTGTCGACACCTTTACGAAGTGACTCATCCATGCCAAAGGTACGAAAGTCAACTTTAGGATTGTCAAAATGTTTAAAAAGAAATAATTATGCCTTCTTCATCATCTTATATGTATGCGCTTCATATTTACATTGTGATATATGCACCTAAAAATTACCGTTACAACTCTTTCCCAACATTAAAAAAATGTCCCTTTGTTTCTTCTGAAAATGAAAGGTCCAGAGAGGTGGAAGTTGAAACAAGTGTAAAGAAGGTGCTCTTGGTTTTTGGAAATAATAAAAAAAAGTACTCTCTAATTCTCTTTTTGTAGTTAATCATGAATCAGTGCAGCTGTACTTTAATTTGACTTAGTGTATATGATTTTAAATTATTGTATTCTATCTATAATGTCTGTTTGCAAGCAGAGTTGATGATTAAGGGCCAGAAAGAGTTTTTCCCACAAAAAATAGGCTTTCTTGTGAACCACATTCAGGCAGGTCTAGACAGATTTGAATCACTCTGTGTGATTCATTAATTAACCAGATTCTGCTGGTTTATTTTATTTTGTGTGAGGATCAGCAAGTCTGGAAAACTGGAATGGGAATTGACCATTTTTGACTTCATGGACAGAAGCAGTGTTTTGGTTAAAATATTCTCAATTTTAGAGAAAATGAACTCCGTATAACTTGTCTTTATTGTCCTGAGTGTTATTAAGGTCTGTCTAGAAGGATATTTAGAGTACTTGTACTGTAAAGGGAATTTCTTTCTATTAATTTCAATGTAAGGTGCCAGTAAGGGAAACAAAGTTAATTACCCCAAGATGTAGGCCATACGTGACTGCACGATAGAAGAGGTTTTCGACAATGTTTCATGATATATCAACTATTTTCCAAATTAAACCACAGCACTTAAATACAGTAAAACATCTTCTTCATCTTTCCTAGGATCGTGTTAGGACATTAGGATGTTAATTAGGTTGTGTAATATTACACTTATAAAGAGAGAGAACTCACTGCTCCATAGGGTGTAAAGTGTCTCCTTTTTTTCTACTGTATAACCCACAACAATTTGCACAACAGCTACTTTGCACAATTATAATGTATATATCCAATATCTATCTATCTATCATCTATCTTGTGAGAGTATTTCAGTGCCTATTTAGAGGCTATTTTTAGATTTTACCCATGAGACATTTTACGACAGAATTATTTGGTTTTGGGATAAGTTTAGGCGGTTTTCTCCCCTCAGAAGTGGGTGTCCCGTTCCAATTTGGGCCAATTAGATTCCTCGTCAGCCACTAGGTGCAGTGTGCAGCCGCCAACCTTAACACACCTCCCGCTCTAGCACCGCCAGTCACACACCGGCTGCTGCTTGCTGCTGGGCGGCGGACAGCCTTATCTCCTCCACCCTCAGCCTACTTCACTCTGCTGGCGCCTGGTGAGGAGACATGGAGCCGGGACACAGAGCGAGAGAGCCGGACATGAGGCTCGGAGAGCGGGGCAGCCACAGGTAGGTGAGAGGGTAGTCCCGGCTACTGGAGCCTCGCTTTTTACTAGCGACTCCACACTTTTAAATGGTCTTTTATTCTCTATTATTTCTTTATTTTATATTGTTTTATTTATTTCTACGGTTTTGACTTTTTTTATTAGCGACTCTTTCCCCTTTTTTAAGTTGGTCTTTGAAACACATTTACACTTTTTTTATTCCTATGAATTATTTATTTTATTATCTTATTTGCATTTATTTTATTTTGTATTGTTTTACTTTATTGAATAGATTTGTATGTGTTATCGTATTTATTGGTTTTGTATTCCTTTATTGACCAAGAGGGATCATATATTTATTTGATTGTGTTTTATTTTGTAATTATCATACCTTTTACCTGCTGTTTCTCTTTAAAGGTTTAAGTGTTAACAACATGTGTAAAGTACAAAAGGTTTTAAAGTCTGGCCTGATGTAAACAATCTTGCATGAAAAGTGCTTTACAAATAAAATGTATATCATATTAACTTAAACATCCTATTTTTGAGATATCACAGCATGTTTGTGTCGTTTTTGAGCAAAATTACGCACTCCCCCTGTCCCGCGTGCCGCGTGCGGCCTCGTTGTTTTTACAAGTCTAACTGTCTGCATGTTATTATGTGTTGGTGTGTCATGTGCTCGAATGGACTGTTCAACCACATGTGTGAGCCTAACCTGGGTCCAGGAAGGAAGGCAAGATGTTGGCCATAGCTGATGAAGTTAAAAACCCTGCTATGCCATCACATTGCCATCTTTTCTCCCCCCTCTGCCAGCAAAAAACAACCCAGGATTTGAACCCTGTTCACAAAAGAACTCTTCCAGAAACTCGGTTATTCCTGTCTTGAAGTGATTTTATTGTGGCTTAATCATGACCATTTTGAATCTTGTGGAATGCATGACCAAATGTAATTTACTAATGAAAGGCTAAGAAATGATATTTAAATAATCTGCCTGTGTGTGAGGCACAATGTGCTCTCTTGTCACTTGGGACATTTAATGTTGATTTTACAATACATGTATATTCTCTTTACTTAACTCGTTTGTTTATCCTAAATATTTAGAATTGTATATACGACTAATATTTCCATAAAATGCAATGCTTTTATATTTATGTACGCAGTTAAATTATTTTAAATCTTGGTCAGTGTGACCAATTTCCACATCAGTAAACAATAATCCACTTATATTTGTAATATTTTAATAAAAGCACATTCTGAAAGAAGTAATTCTGCATAATATTCACAATAACTTTCAATTCTCTATTTACTTTTTAAATATTTTATACCTGAGTAAATTTGAATGTACAACTTTTTCTTGTAAATTTACCATTTGAATCTTGCTACTTTGCTCTTAGTTTGGATAAACTTCCTGCTTTGCCCCATTACTGTTGGTCACCATATATTAGCCTTTTTAATTGTTCTCCTAATGTTGCAAATAATTCCAATAACATTTGCCAAAGAGCTGAATAAAGTGCCTGTTCTGTGAAAATGTTTTCTGAATCTCTAATTGTGTGTGTGTGTGTGTGTATTGTGTGTGTGTGTGTGTGGTGTGGGTGTGTGTGTGTGTGTGTGTGTGTGTGTGTGATGTGTGTGTGGTGTGAGGTGTGTGGTGTGTGTGGTGTGTGTGTGTGTGTGTGTGTGTGGTGTGTGTGTGTGTGTGTGTGGTGTGTGTGTGTGTGTGTGTGTGTGTGTGTGTGTGTGTGGTGTGTGTGTGTGTGTGGTGTGTGTGCTGTGTGTGTGTGTGTGTGTGGGGTGTGTGTGTGTTGTGTGTGTGTGTGTGTGTGTGTCCATTGTTGACTACTTTTATAACTCAACTCATGAGACATCTAGTTTTGAAATACAAGCTAAATAATGTCTTTATACCCTGTCCTCTTAGACTGCACTAGACACTTATATATTTTGTATTAAACCATTTTTTTGTGGGTGGGGGGGGGGATTTCTGCATTGACTTCAAATAAAATTCGAATTCATAAGCTAAACATTTGAAATAAAAAGGTATTCTTTCTTTGCAGGAATATAATTTTACATTAAAAACGTTTATCTTGAAAGCTGTAATATTTTGTTGTCCATTTTCTAATGATTGAATAAAAAATCTGACCCACAATTTGTTGTTTGCAAACAAGGAAACACCTTCAAGTCTTGTCACAGTTGCAAAATGACCTATTACACTTTAGGCTTTTTTTTATATGAATAACTCACTCGTTCGGTGTTATAATTATATAATTATAAGCATAAATGAATGGCAGGAATAATAAAGAGTGCTTGAGTAAGGTGGAAGTGGAGCAGGCTGATGTGACCGCAGTAGTTACTTTCCTCCAGCAGGGGGCGGCAGTGCAACACTCTGGTTGTTAGCTGCACTTTCTTTAATGAACACGAAGAAGCTGCTTCCTCCTGCTGTATGCTCATGCCTGTCAGTTGGGAGGCTGGTTTGAAAGCTGTCAGGTAAGAAGATATCTTTTTTATTTATTGATAATAATAAACGGTCAATTACTAAATCATCCCTGTTAAGCTGCACGCTCTTGTTCCTCGTGTGAAAACATTAGCTTAGCCGACACGAGCTGCTAGCAGCTATGCTAAGAGGTAAACAAACTAGAGGTAGCTTGTAATCAGAATTGTAGACATGCTAACTTTAGCAATAATTAAAAATTCACAACTTTTGTATTTTTTTAACAACGGTATAAGACCGCGTTTCCTGTTGAATATGCTTCTACTCGAGATTAAACATGGTCTGAATGAGGACACTAAACCTGTCTTAATAGGAAAGATAAACATGTAGCCTTACCATGTATCTAATACTTTATTTTCCCAGGCCTCACTGACAGTAAACATCTCTTTTATAGTAGGCTTTACAATGATCAGATGTAAATGCAGAATTTTGTTTAATTATTTCCCCACAGCCTTGCAGGCTTTTCAGTGTGCTAATCGCATTATTTCCCCAAGAAAACTTAAATGTGTATGTTTTTCTCAATTGTATTGTTCATAAGCTGCAATTATGCATTCATTTGACAAACCTTAAATACATATAATACTGCTTCACCTAAAGTCAGGATCCTACACACCCTCAAATCAACTGTTGGGGATTATTTCTACACAGCCAAGCCACATGTTTATATCCATTGTGATCGTCCTGAACGAATAGTCGGATCACTATTCTTTTCAATGCAAAAAAAGAGAACAACTTGGGTTTGAGAAACTTAACTGTGTGTACCAATTTCCTTTGTTTTCTGACATTTACAGACCAAGAATTGCTCTAAAACATATATTATGCAGATGAACCAATTAAAAACAATATTGTCATTAAAATGTCCAAGGAGTTGTCTTTAAACGTGTTGTTCTTTACGTTATACAAGTCTGTGTTCCCTGGTTTCTCGTTTCATTTTTTGATACTTTTGGTACTATAATGTTCTTAATACTTATAGACCAACAGTATTTAAATATGAATTAAAAGGTAACAAGCTAAATACCTGCTTATTTTTTAAAACATGAGACGCAAAGTGGATACAATTACACTTATTTTCCACTGAACTGAAATATCAAGCACAATAAATTCATATATTGAAATGATGGCCTTGGAGTGATCTCAACATATTTGTTTTTCCAGAGATGAACAGTGAGAATTTCAGCCTGAGTGAGAAGATCGTGTCGACCTCTTACGTTCGACAGGGAGTCAGGCGCGCCGCAGCCATGAGCAAGCTGATCAGACTCTTGCTGGAGAAGGTTACCGTCCTCAGCTTCATGTCTCCTTAAGGTCGCTGCAGATTCATCAGCTTCTTCTCATTGTGTGTCACAGGGAAAGTGTCCAGAGGAGGGTGGATTGAGAGCACCGTGGAGCTCTTCCCAGCGAGCTGGCTGTGATGGACAGTAATAACTTCCTGGGAAACTGCGGGGTCGGAGAGAGGGAGGGCCGCGTGGCCTCCAGCCTCGTGGCCAGGAGACACTAACAGGTTCAAGTTTGACCTTTTATAACACACATCTGTATAATGTTGTGTCCAATGCGAAAATACACATATTTTTACTAGATAGATTTAGGTAGATTGAATTAGGTCTCTAAATTTGTATAGCTCATTTTATGCCACCACAACATTTGATCCCAGTAATATAGCTTTGTGAGGCAGATATTGATGTGACTTAATACAATTTGGTCGTTATCAGGGTTCTCTTTATTTTTATAAAAATAGCAAAGTCATTGAATTAATTGATCTGAAATTAGGTCCCGATTCCTATTAAATTGTCTTAAAATAATCCCTTTTAAAAGTCTTTTAGTTGCTCAGTTATGGGAAGTACGGTTTTATGATGTTTTCTTTCGGTCATTGCCTTCTAAAATCTGAAAAAAGGGGGACAGGTATTTACAGGCAGTTTAATCTTTTTAGGGAATTAACACAGTCAACATCTGTTTAAAATAAATATATAACGTTATGCCGATCCGGATTAAGTTGCCTGTAAAATTGTTGGGGGGAATACAAAAAAAAGTGTTGAATCTAGCTTCCTTCATGCTGTGGGAAACCTACATAGATTATTTTTTTCATAAGAGTATGTGATGAGGCTCCTAATTATATTAGTTATTTAAGAGTTTCAACCAAATAAGGCTGTGTATTTAAGTGTTAAAAACATCTTAATTGTGCCTAGCCAACAATAACACTGTAAACTTACTCGTGTATGATAAGTTCACATTGCCCATACTAATAACGCTTGGGCTCTACTCAATATAGTACTCAAAATGATCAGAAGTAATACAAATCTTCTCTAGTGTCCAGTGAATGTTGAACGCTTCCTGTTTGTTTTGAAGGTTGATCCATGGCATCGGTCGGTCAGGTGACATCGCTGCCGTCCAGCCCAAAGCTGCAGGATCCAGTCTGCTCAACAAGCTCACCAACTCTGTGGTGTTGGACATCTTAAAGCTCTCAGGTGTGTATTTATTATGAAAAACTACTTTGCAAGAAAATTGAATATTTGTATCAAGGAATGTGTTTTATTTGTGTTATGTTGAAGCCACTGAAAGATGTGCTTAGACGGGAAAAAAACAGATGAAGTCATGCCCTTGCATTAATTTATTGGATGTTTATTATGCTTTGTGGGTGTGACCTCTTTTGCTGTGTCATCACCATTCATATATTTACAACAAAAAAAAAAATTGTTTACTAGAGCACAAAGTTGTTCATATAACAAACCTCTTGATCAAAATACAAAAATAAAATTAACCTTTGCGTTAGGATTCAGTTTACAGTACAAAAAAAATACATTTTTATAACCATGCGTTGCTCCTCAGGTGTCCGGAGTGTGGCCAGCTGCTTTGTAGTTCCCTTGGCAACAGGAATGAGCTTGACTCTGTGCTTCCTGACCCTTCGCCACCGAAGACCCAAAGCTCGCTACATCATTTGGCCTCGCATCGACCAGAAGTCCTGTTTCAAAGCCATGATCACAGCAGGTGAAAATCCCATCAGTCACCCTCACTTCCTGCTCACACAGACAGAATATGGCAGCAGATGGCCATTTCTTGGGGGAATATATCTGAAATGGTGCCATGTAAAGCATATTTGTTGAAGTATGTGATGACAGACACAATCTTTGCACTTTCTGTTGGCATTTTCACCCCGATGCTAGTTAGACATGTGTTCCTTCCTCATAACATCATCACAGGGCTTCCTCCGCCTCCTGCCTCTTACTTCACTGTTCCTCAGGATTTGAGCCTGGTAGTGGTGGAGAACGTTCTGGAGGGCGATGAGCTGCGGACAGACCTGGAAGCAGTTGAGCGCAAGATCGAGGAGCTCGGAGCCGAGAACATCCTGTGTGTTCATTCAACTACTTCCTGCTTCGCCCCGCGGGTCCCCGACAGGTGAATAATGTTCATTCACAGCCTTTCACCTACTCCACACTGAAGACCTTAGCCTAGATTTCCCGCTTGCTGACAGTTTTTGGATTGCAGCCAATGAGAGCTCGACAGAATTGAGGGTAACCTTGGGAAGGGGAAGCCTGGTACAACAGGAAGTACTAAGAAATTATTCATTTTTTAACACTCGTATAATGTGAATAGTATCCTATGTTTACATTTTTGAGTATTTACTAGGTCTAATATAGTGTATACCAACTTATCTACATGTTATATTGTTAAATTTGATTGAGACACCCTATAAATATTTATGTTTCACTGTTGATAAGTATGTTTTACTCTTAATGTTATTTTCTAATTAATTTTATTTTTAATTAATGCTCAAGCCCTTGTTTACGCTGCTATGACAAATTAATTAGCCAAATTCGGATCAAAAGTGAATGAATTCTGATGATTGTTTATGATCTTGTCCTATAGGCTGGAGGAGCTGTCCATTCTGTGTGCCAAACAAAACATTCCCCACATTGTGAACAATGCATACGGAGTGCAATCGTCTAAATGCATGCACCTCATCCAACAGGTGGGTTCCACACACTATATCGCTTGTAATTGGCCCTCATATGCACTTTACACCCGTTGGGTGACAGTTTGGTGTTGGCTGTCTGTCGTCAGGGGGCTCGTGTCGGAAGAATTGACGCCTTTGTGCAGAGCCTGGACAAGAACTTCATGGTTCCAGTAGGTGGCGCCATCATCGCAGGCTTCGACGAGTCCTTCGTACAGGAGATCAGCCAGATGTACCCAGGTGAGTCAAGTGGGATTCTTTATTTATTGCAAAAAGTTTCCTCTAAATGATTATCACATGGACACCTATTACAATCTAGTGGAATGAGGGATATGAACCCAGTTATTGGGAGGGAATTTATTTTGAATCAGAACTAAAACATTCTCTGACATATGAGCTCACAGAAACAAAAACAAATATTATAATCAGACATTTTAAAATATTTGTTGTATTTCTATACCCAACTGCTTTTCAAACTGATAACTTTTATCAGTTTTCTTAACCTTTTTATCAATAAATAAATAAATACACTTTTGGATCTTACAATGCTTTTGAGTTATTTTAAATGTTTGATTTGACGACACTGGTAAAAATGTTTTGCAAATAGTAATAATCTAAATAAGATTACTGTAGCCTCATTTTTATCTGCAGCTGTGCACACACACTGCCTTTAAACATGATCAGTAGACCTACACAAGAAAGCTGCACAGCATTTAATTGTGGACTTACAATTTGAATGTCAAATGTATTAATTAAGCTTTAAAGGGGACCTATCATGCAAAAATGCACTTTTGTACGTCTTTTATACATGAATATGTGTCCCCGGTGTGTCAGGGAACTCACCAAGTGTCGATGAGGCATGGCTAAAATGCATGATCTGTTTGGGTATTTTTGAAAAGAAAACTTCACAGACATGTTTTATATAGGTATGGCCCTACAATATATTATTCAAATATAGCATGATAGGTCCACTTTAAAGTATTTGGTTTATCCCTGATATTTTGTCAGGGATTTGAAAAAAAAACTCATGTGATGCTTTACGGCCACCAATGCTTATTTTGTCCTCGAGGTTAATATGAGGAGTAGATATCTCTACCTATAATCAGTTACTGTATGCACAAAGTCACTTGATGTCCCCTTTTGTCCAGGTCGAGCGTCCGCCTCTCCTTCCCTGGACGTCCTCATCACCCTCCTCACCCTGGGAGCCAGCGGCTACAAGAAGCTCCTGTCAGAGAGGAAGGTGAGAGCGTGCACACATCAGCTCACAACACCACTTTTTATTTAATCATGTCTTTCAGGCGGAGTTTTATATCTGCAGGATGCTTCCATGTCCAAAATATCAGATTTTAACTTGTGTATGAGGCGTTGGGAAAGCGAGATTGGAAGGAAGGGGAAATAAATGTAATTATTAATATAAATAAACAGTCATATTCCAGATGGTGTGATAAAAACAACATGGATTGGTAGAAGGAAAATACTGCGGCAATGTCAGCCTGACTATGTTTCTGTGTGTGCTGTGTCAACATCTCTCTCCGGAAAACTGACGAGAACAGCTTACATAAGTTGTATTGAATTGCAGTGGATCACTCTCTCTCTGACTTCCTGGTGTGTGGTGTGTGTGCGTGTCTCTTTACCTGCATTCTGACTGAGGAAAGAGACTTTGAACTTGAGCGAGTCAGTGTAAAGGGAGGCGTGTGCTATAGCAGGATGAAATTGATCCAGAAGTTTCAGAAAACATCCCCTGGTGGCTCCCCCGTTTAAAGCAGACTTTTCTCACAATGCAGCATCCCCCCCTCTTAAAACAGGATTCACTGCAGCACTCTCACACCTCCCAACTGCTCCTCCCACAAACTGTACATGTGACTTTATCTGTTTTATGTTGATGCTCAAACCTCGGTAAGACGCTGAAACAAATTACTCTTAAATCTCCATCAACGGTCTTTTTTTAAGAATGAACTGTGGATGATAAATCTTCTTTTCTCTCATGTTTATCAGTAAAGTCCCTTCAAGAAAACAAGTAATCACAATCTGTTCATGAAACCCAAAGATGACACAACTACAAGATGTCATACAACCCCCACAATGCCCTCTGCGGGAAAGCGTAGCAGAAATATACATTTAGGAAATACCTCGGGCCTCTCCGATGACCCGATCAAAGCTTATTGATTTCCCTCGCTCCACATTATTTATAATTAATGTGCAGGACGCGTTTTCCATAGTATCTGCAGAAGTGAGTGATTTCCCCACATCCCCCACAGGGTCACAAGCTTTAAATAATTCAGACTTTTCATCTGATAATTCACAGACTCATGTAACCGTTAGGGTAGAAATTGCAAAGAACCAGCAGATGATGTGTGTTTTTTTTTTAGGTAGGATGGGGTTTAGTCATCACACACACACACACACACACACACACACACACACACACACACACACACACACACACACACACACACACACACACACACACACACACACACACACACACACAGTTATTGTCTGCAGAGTCGTGGCCGTGCACCCCCTCCTCTGCAGGGGTAAGAAAGTCGTCCATTGTTGCTAGAGAACAAGGGACACTTGGAGACACTTGTGTTCGACTCTTGACAGAAAATATTTTCCTTCTTGGTGCTTTCGAATTAGAATATTATGAGTCAGCAAAGTACGCAGGAGACACACACACACACACGCTGTAGCAGAGAGCAGATGCTTTAATATGCGACGCTTCACTGGGGCAGCCAGCAACAGAAACACTGATTTATTGTTGTGGCGGCTCCTCTTCATGTCCTGGCATCATAACATCTGTGTTCTCCACCTTTTATTCAGAGCCACACACACTGCATTGAGAATCAAACACTTCATCATATCACATCATATTTCAAACATTTAGGTGTTAGAATCACTGGATTAAAGCATGTGTTCCTCCTCTCCTGCCTCTCTGGAGACAGGGGGGAGATAAGGGAGGGGGTCTGGACATGGACCAGTCTGCTTGCCGGTAGATTTTGCTTGATTAGCAATAAAACCGAGGCTGCTGCTGCTAAAATAAGACTGTGGCAGAGTTTTCTATTTATAGCTCTTTTGTATGGCCCCCCCCCTCTACTTCTGTGTCTCCATGCCTCTGCCTGTGTACGCATGTCCTGCAGGAGATTTATTTGCTGCTGGCTCAGGAGCTGAAGAGTCTCGCCTCTGCACACGGGGAGAGGCTGCTGAACACCCCACATAACCCCATTTCCCTGGGTAAGCTCCATGTACAGGCATCATGAATACACACTCTATTTTGTCCATACATTTTGGGTTTTTTCAATGGTGAAAGCTTCATTTTCTGAACTTATATTAGTGCTGCAAGAAATGATTGCTCATCATTTGATCTATAAAATGTCAGAAAAATGAAAAATGCCCATCCTAGTTTCTCAAAATCCAAAGGTCTTTGGATGGTCCATGTCCATTGTCAGATCAGAACTCAAATATATTCTTACATTTAAACGGAGGAAAGCAGGAGATCTCCATATTTGGGAGGCTGAAAACTGCATTTTCTTACATTATTAGCATGAAAATGACTATCATCGAATACTATCAATAGTTACTTTTTTTTTTTAACTAAAGCATCTGTAACATATACAAGTACATTATTTTGATATTTCATGTGTAGTTTTTTATGCATTTTTCACTCTTAAACATGGCTGTGAGTTTCTTGAAAAGCACTCTATAAATCAAATGTATTTTACAGTATAATCATTGTTTGTGTGTTTGGGTGTGGGCACCTCTCTTCCCCCCCCCTTCCCCCCCAGCCATGTCTCTGGATGGTCTCCAGGCGGAGAGCAACGGGGCGGTGACTCAGCTGGGCTCCATGCTGTTCACCCGGCAAGTGTCAGGAGCCAGGTAAGAATCATAGGCTGTATTTTAGGTATGAACACTTTTTAAAGGGGCCACAATCTGGCCTGGAAAGGGGAACATGGGGAGGGGAGTGCAAACAAGAGGGTGTGGAGGTTAGGCAAAATTAGGTTTGTGTGCCTGAGCTGTGCGGCAATCGGCCGGATGGATCTGCTGAATCTCAGGGAACAGCAACCACTTTAGAAGATTACAACACACCGCCCATCCTAATTTCCCGGGATGTTTCCATCACGGAGCGCTGTTGTCTCCACTGGAGCCGCGGGCACAAACACTGATACCATGTTAGGGTCTGTTCTTTTGTTGCCTCAAAGCCGAAAAACAAATTTCATTTTCTCAATTTTCCCCTTCGATGGACAAAGCTTGGGAGCCCATCTAAATATTTAAAATATCCCGAATGATTTATTTAGGGTCATTATTTCATGCAGTGCTTTTTTTTACATCAACAATGTGCAACATATTAAGAGCTCTGTATTATATGAATGCATTTCTTCTCCATAATGGTCTCACATCTGCTGGATCGGCTTGCTTACAAATTCACCATACTATAAATTCAACACAAATCCTAAAAATCACAGCACTTGCAGTGAAATTGCGAGAAGAAACATCATCAATGACAAATTCTTGTAACTACCGCTTCCCAAATGTTGACCGAGTAGTAAGAATGGAGTTAGATTAAATATATTTTGTTTTCTAATGACTAGTTTACTGTAGATAATATTTTTGTTGACTAACCAATGTACCTCCTTCATTACATGTGATATCACCAAGTCAAATTATTTGATTTAAAATAAGTATTTGTAAATAACATCATTGTTCCACGTTATCCTTGTTTTCCACCCCTGTCTGTAGGGTAATACCGCTGGGCAAGGAGCAGACCATCGGTGGACACACGTTCCGAGGCTTCACGTCTCACTCCGATGCTTACCCGTGTCCGTACCTTAACGCTGCCTCGGCTGTGGGCATCACGCGGGAGGACGTGACCCTGTGCATGAAAAGGCTCGAAAAGTGCCTGAAGACCCTGAAGAAAGAGAAAAACATGGCGAAAAGTAGCTTCCCTGTACTTCCACCGTGCCAGGAGGACACCACTGGAGAATGACTATAATAAGAAAACAAAGTGAGTTCTTCTAACTGTGAGATCTTCTTCTTCACCTCGTCTGGACTTTGTGTGTTTTTAAAAGGCTGATGGATTATCAATCCAGATATTGTAATGAGGTCAAAGGCTGGAGCAACAGCTGGTGTGGAAACTTCCTCCAGGTGTTCATTAAAACAAAAGTGACTCAGGCTGATGTCACTGATTAATTCCCTCCTCTGTGAACGTGTCATAATTAGTAGATATTTTAAGGACGCTAAATGCATACAAATGCTTCTCGGGAGCATGTGGTTCTTCGTGAACACTTGCATTTTCTGTTTATGTTGAAAAAACCTCATTTCTAATGGCATTTGGACTCAAAATAGCTTGAGGATGAACAAGGGGCTTTACTTTATGTGTGTCATTTCTCTTAATTAAAACCATCTCAAGCCTCCACAGTGCAGTGGAATGTAATTACCCGTGGTTCCTCTTATTCTCTGCTAATGTTAGCAGACACAGGCATGCTTAATGCGCCTTCTGCTCTTGGAAATGCATTAGGCCTTTCCAACTATTGACATATGAAACAAAATCGCCTGATAATGCAGTATGTTGCAGCATGTCTTCTGCAGTGTGATGTAATGTGATATAAAAACCGTTGAGCCATTATCTCCATTTGAAGCCGGTGAATTTAATCGGCTCTTTTACTTTCAGGCAGCAGAAAACAATATAATGAACAGATAATCGATTTAGTTCAACAAACATGGATCACTGCTGTGTGGAGTAAAGGAAATGTTCACCAAACCTGCTATTAAGAATTTAAGATGTGTGTAGGTAAGTACAGTTACATTTGTTGGGACCTTACAAAAGGCTATACACACAGCCATAAAAAGATCTACAATGTACCTTAAATTGTTTTAGTTGGTCTAAGAATTAAGGCTATGTTTTGTTTACTATAAATAATCCATAGGGTCTTTGTATGATGTCTGGTGTGAGAACAGAACCACTTAAAATATATTTTACACATGACTTTCGTGTGTTACTTCTGTAATGTCAATATGTTCATGAAGTTAAAGCAGTCTTTAGTGTTTGCTAGCTTAAGATACATTTCAGTTTATCAGACAAAAGGTAAGTTTAGATTTTGAGGAAGGTACATATCCAAAGAAAATACATGAACTGTGCAGGATTTTGTTGATATGGAAATCAAACTCAAATTCTTCACTCAGAGGAAAACGTGTCACCTGCATTAGTTGGCAAACATACAGTAAGCTCTGATCTGAAAAGCTTACTTTAAAAGCATTTTGTGTTTCCTATAGTAACCCTGATCAGTAGTTCTTGCTGCGTCAGTGCTGGGCCCAGGTGTGCTTTGGATAGCAAAGTATACATTCAGCACACGCCGCTTTTTAAACTGTAGTTGTTAATGCAGGTCTGATGCATGTGCAGCAGCCCATCCACCCTGGGAGAGTGGACTGAAGTCAGATAGATGAAGGTGCTGGATCAGCACACTTTCACTGTTCCCAGGCTGTAGTGTAACCATTAACACAATACAGAGGGAGTGCTCGGTACACGGCAGTACTCTTAAAAACACAGAAGAAGCATTATAAAAACAGCTTTTTGTTTTTTGTGGTAGCAAATGTCGTCAGTCAGGATGAAATAATCCTGAATCAGTGCATCAGCTGCCTGGCTCTCTGTCGTGCAAATGTTGCTCTCCTGATTGTTTTTGTCTTTTCTCTCCCGTCACCAGTTTGCAGGGTTTCCCATCTTTGCTGAGGTTGCAGGGATGCTGAGGGAGAGAGTCAGACACATTATTTTGTGCAGGCCAGTTTTAAAGGAACCCCCCTTCTATTGATCAAGCCTGCTGCAGTGTGTAAATCAGAAAAGAGCTGCCACTAAGAGACCTGCACACGGCATCACAGTCTGTTTTTCATGCAAGCCATCTATCAGTGGCAAGCATTGCACTAAGGAAACAGCTGATGTAAAACAAACACGAGAGATCATGAAGAAAACAGGACACATTATGACAACACAAGTAACTAATGGCTAGGCTTTATAGTGGAAATCCCACATTGGCCTTGGCAGCTTCTGACTTATATATTATTGACTTAGGCCTGTTTTATCTTTCTTAAGGTGTACCTTTTAATGATTACAAAATCTTCACACATTTTTACATGAATTTGCTCCACGAAGCCCTTGAAAATTCTCATACACAGATGATCAAAAAGTGGATATGTTTGCTTACCTTATCTCAAAAGCCTATAAAATTAATAATCATTAAATAGTATTATTGTTTCTCTACAGCGTTGTACATGTCTTGTCAGGATCTGGTATTTTTATTGTAGGCAAACAATAAAAATGTGATGTTTGGGAATTCCTTTCATTTCAATCATTTGTTATTAGATTACATTCATTTTGAGGAGTTTTCTGGAGCTCTATTAAATATTTTTACATTTTGATAAATACCTTTTTAGATTAGCAGTAAAAATGGAAAGTGTTGAGTTTCAGTGTGACTGCAGATTCATATTGTGTTGCAGTCCTTCTCTTTATGGAGGGGGGGGGGGGGGGGGGGGGGGGGGTTACTGTACAGTATGTAAAGTAAACGTAGTAATAATATGTCACTGACTGAAATAATTCATAAAGAGTCTTCATATGACGCATTTGATTTTCATATTTGAAATTATGCGAAAATGTGCGCGCGTGATAACCTGACGTCATTTAAAATGTGTTTTTAAAGTCTTTCCAAGCCACGCAGTATATATCTGCTCAGCCTCATGATATACAACTATAATGCCCATGAATGCAACATATATCCCCCAAAAGCCGTGATTGCTAGATGAAGTTCTTCTGCATGTATGGCGCATGGGCTGTTTTAACCCACAGTCACCGTACGGGAGCTGAGCCTTAATAAATAATGAGAGTGCACGCGGAGGAGCTGCAGCTGATTTGCTGATGTCAGGCAGTCAGTGCAGCATTTCATGGTGCAGGGTGTAAACGCTCTTCGCGCTCTCAGAAAAACCCCACACATGCAACCCTGGCAAGAAAGATGTTGCCAACTCTCAAGATCTGGACATTATTTTCTGTTTGGCTCTGCTTCCTATCGCAGCCGGCTCATTTAAAGAAGGCTTTCCGATGTCCTTCAACATGCAGCTGCTCCAGGGAGTCCATCATCTGCGTCGGGTCCTCCAATGTCCCCAGGATTAGCCCCAACGACGTTAATTCCCTGTGAGTAGCTCGATGTTTTCATGCGTAAAGCAGATACCAGTTGTCGCTAGCTATATGATGTTCATCATCTTAATAAGAGCTGCTGTGGAAAAGCAATGCAGTCCTCTATGATGTTGATTTGCTCATCGTTTCTGCTCCTTCCTTACAGGAGCCTCGTCAATGGGACTTTCTCTGAGGTCAAAGAGGCGATGTTTGCTCACATGCCATCCCTCCAGCTACTGTAAGAGCAACAGCACACTATTCCTCTGTTAGAGCATGAGTTACCTTACCGCGTAGCAAAGGCTCCTTTTTTAGGGCAGAACCAGGAACACTGATTGATTGAACAACAAATTGGTGACTTGCAAAACCAATGTGAAGAATTCAACAGTGGTAGAGACCTCAAAGTGTAAAGATGTAATCAGTATTTAGATCCTAAAAGTACTCATACCAGTCTGGGGAAATACCCCCCTAAAAAAAGTCAGATTATCAGCCAAGTATCATGAGTAAAACTACTCACAATGCTGAAAATGTTAAGAATTGTTTGTGTTTTAATGATGACGTATGTTTTACGTCAAATCTTAAAAAACTAATGCTTTTTGATAAATGCAGGGTAGTAAAAAGTACAATATTTTACTTTGAAATAGTAGCCTAGCCCTAGAGTATAAAGCAGCATTAAATGGAAATGGTCTAAATCTATTCTGAAATAGATTTCTCGAGGAGCCTACATTTACTTCATTAATTTCATTCACCACTTGGTGCAATACACATAAAAAACCCTTTATAAACAGCAACAATACGCTATAATATTGGCTTTTATTGATCAAGTTTGTGGTGCTTTTGAAGTAAAGATATGTCCAGTAGCTGACTTCCTGATGTGCGTGGTTTTAACACAGACACAGTAAAGCATTAAGTGTCTTTGGTGCATCTTAGAGCAATTAGCAGGAAGGATTTAAAAGGTTTGGACACCTTTTAAAGCTCTCAGTGCAGTCACATGTCGTATCATACGGAGGCCATCTGTCTTCAGTTACTCCACTAGTGACGACTGTGATTCAGAAACAAAGGTGTGGCAGATGTAGAGTGTTTAACCAAAGTCATAACACACATGATGATTAACAGCCAGATTGATTTTGTGATGAGAGTGCAGCGCGTTTGCTATTTTATTTCAAGACACTACAGGTATACGGAACCATCTCAACTAATAGATCTAACATTAAACTCTTGCGGTTATTAATTGCATTTCATTTTGTCTTTTCAATTAAAACAATTGTTGTTTATATATGCAAATGAGGCATCATGTTCTGACTGAATCAAAGTTAGGAAAATAAACTTCTAAATCTATTTTCTTTGCACTAGAGCCTGAAAGATGACATTTAATTAAAGTCCATAATCCTATCTGCATAAAAACAACAACAATGATTTTGTGTGTATGGTCTCACCTTTAAAATTGACTTTTTGCACAAGGGGATTGTCTTTTTGGTGAGTTAAATAGGAGTTTTATTTCAGAACAATATGGTGGTTTGCTCCTGTGTTTGATAGAGGATGCAGTTGATTTGGATAGATGTTTTTTCTTGACATTTTTTTACTCTTATCACATTTGATTTGACATGTGTTGGAATGAGGCTGGGATGATTATGCTGTATTTTGATCACTGAAAGAAAAATCGTAGAAATATCCTCTATATAAAACAGTGCCTCTTGTTGACAGCCAGCATCTTCTAAAGTGTTTTTATTATTCATCAGGCTTTTGAATTCCAATTCTCTCACAACTGTACGGGACGATGCGTTCTCCGGCCTCTCACATCTGGAGTATCTGTAAGTTATTTCAGTGTTTATTAAAAAATATATCAGAGGCATTAACATGAGTGTTGTACTTAATTACTTAATTTAGCTGTAAATTAGGTTAAAATGGCACATCGTGATCTTAAACATGAGGTTTTCTGGGTGGATTTTGCTCTTTCTGAGAGTAAATGAGGCCCTCTAGTGGTTTAATTTAATTTGGTTTAAAGAATATTCTTCACTTGTTTGCCCACAACCAACATTTTTAGACATATTTTCAGCAAATGTAATATATTTTGTTTAAAACTGTACACATTTGACCAGAACCAGAACCATATTTCATACATCCATTCACAGAGACATGTGCTGAGTGTGTTACCATACCATAAGCTTATTACTAACATGTGTTGTTGTTGTTGTTGTCCTCAGGTTCATTGAGAGTAATAAGATGGAGACTGCATCCAAATATTCCTTCAGAGGACTCAGGGACTTGACACACTTGTATGTTCCAACCTTTAAAATCATTCCCATACATTAAGACCTCTCATCTGTAATATTTATTCGCTAAAGTCATTTGTTAATATGAAGCCATTGTGAACCATTGTAGGTGATGCTTAATAATTCACATTTTATTCAGAATAAGGGTAACAGCGTTGAACATTAATATTGAGTATATATCAAGAATATTTGTTTTTTCTTCAGTGTTTCCAGTCATTAAAGTGTTACTTGTACCTTAAGTCTATAAATATGATGCATGTTTTTCAATTTTCTGTCATTGGAGTTATGATTTTCTTAATAGGTGCCATTTTCTGTATTGATCAATGGCTGTATTTTCCAGGTCTTTGACAAACAACAACATTAAAGCATTACCTCGGGACGTTTTCAACGACTTGGACTCACTGATAGAGCTGTGAGTTTCATAATCCGTATCAAAAATGAATCCCGGGTCCAATGCATTTCTTCTAATGTATGTTTTAGCTACTTTGTTCGTCTGCAATGAAACTGAGTACCTCTCTTCTGCAGGGACCTGCGAGGCAATGCTTTCGAGTGTGACTGCCGAGCGAAGTGGCTGATGATGTGGCTGAAGAACACCAACGCCACGGTTTCGGATGTCGTGTGTGCTGGACCAGAGGACATGAAGGACAAGCGCCTCAATGATATGACCAGCCTGCACAACGAGTGCGTCTCAACAGGTGAGAAACACCTGAGCCAGATGGCCTTGTCTCTGTTCTAACTGGCATCAGGCCACTCAACCAGGTCATCCCAACAAGTGTAAAGAGGAGGCAAAAGTGTGGGGTTTCTAAATTCAGAATGTGCCTTTTCTGCAGATTTCGTCCTCCATCAGTCCCTGGCATCTGAGTCTCTGTCTGTGGACACATTCAGCTATAAAAACGACGTCTATGTGACGATAGCTGCTCCCAGCGCAGAGAGCTGTATGGTTTTCCAGTGGGACCACATAGAAATGAACTTCAGGACTTATGATAACATCACAGGTACGGCAAATGTTTTAACTGTGGATGCTGTTGTTACATTTTGAGAGTTTGGGCCATTTTGTTTCATAACATGTCGGCCATTTTGTCTTCTTTCTGAATTTTGAGAAGGAAAACACATCTAAAATACACATTTAAGAGTTTTTCTTACTGCGTTTTTGTGTTTGTAGATTCAGTAGCACTTACAGCAGTTTCATTCCCATTGTTTACAGTTTTTACTGATCTATGGAATGATGCAAATAAATATCCTAAAATCCCTCTGTACAAACCTTTAATTCTGATAGGTTTGAATTTACAAATAGAGAATTTTCCACCTGGCATTATACTGTATTCAAGTTTCTGTACTAGTAATGTATTTAAATTAAATTAGCACATATTTGATAAAAAATAATGGCCAATTTGCATATTTAAACGCAGCATTTCAGAAAACCTGTCCAGCCAGTAGTGAGCTGGGGAAGTTTGAAAGTGTTTTTCAATAACAACCTTTTACAATTTGGTATTGGCCCATTTATTTTAATTTCTCCGCCTTTCAGGTCAGTCCATTGTGGGGTGCAAGTCAGTGGTCATCCAGGACCAGGTGTTTGTCATCGTGGCTCAGCTGTTTGGTGGCTCCCACATCTACAAGTTTGATGAGGACCAAAGCAGCTTCAGCAGGTTTCAGGACATCGAGGTGTCTAAGATCTCCAAGCCCAATGACATTGAAGCGTTCCAGGTGGGCTCTGACTGGTTCTTTGTGATTGCTGACAGTTCAAAAGCAGGCCTGTCCACCCTCTACAAGTGGAACGATAAGGGCTTTAATTCCTACCAGTCGCTGCACGAGTGGTACCGCGACACAGACGCAGAGTTCCTGGACTTGGATGGGAAGGCGCACCTTATCTTGGCGAGCCGCTCGCAGGTGCCTGTGA